TCGGTGTCCCCGGCGCAGTGTTGGCGTCTCGCCCCATCTCCGGCGCTCGGGTCACGGCAGGGAAAGGGGGCGCGTCCGAGGACACCCGTTGTGTGCAAGAAGCCCCTACTGTTCCATTAGTCATTTCTGCACCATGAGCAGATTCACACCCAAGTAACGAAAGAATCCTTTGTAATCAAGATTAACCGAAATAGGATTATCTTCACTGAGCTGAGCACGTGTTCCTGAGATTCCCACTTTAATCACTTACATGTACTTTGATGTTTTTCATTTGATAATGAGATTGTTATTTCAATAGTAATTTGCAATTGTAAGTGGTATTAGTGCCAACTAGTAAAAATGCTGAAAAATCGACGTTATGGCTAAAACACTGGGAAACATTTATCTAAATTGTACAATTTTCATTGGATACAATCTGCGCCATAAAAGTAAATTCTAAAATTGTGTGCTGCAAGCGGTCTCCAATGGACCAAGTAAGGGGCTGTGTGTGTATTTGGGGATGGGAACAGTCTCAGGATGGGTGCTGGACTCCTGCAGACTTACAGGACAATTGACATTGCTGTCACTGGTTAATCCACAGGTGCCACAAAGCTGAGACATGCTCCATATCAGCAACCTGAACACCTCCCTACAAACATGATCAAGGTGCTTTCAGCAGCTGCCTACTAGTGTTAACCATAATGTTATTTTTATAAACTACAACACACTGTCTTCTGATCCATAGGTACAGGGGAGAGAAATCAGTTGTAGGTCCAAAGGTGAGAGGCAACAGAACAATTTGAATTTCCTGGCCTTCTGTTTCCTTCCTCAATCCAGCAGCAAGCTTGGTTTGGTTCCAGTGAGCATCCAGAGTCTTAGTGACAGCAGTAAAAAGTCAGTCTGTAAAAAGGCCAGCAAAAGAAGTTATAAGCCAGTGGTTTTGGTTTTTTAGTTTTTTTCCTTGTCACATTTAACACACATTTTTTTGGGAACTGAGGTGCATGGGCAGATCTGACGTGTCTGCCACATGGTTCTTCCATAGACAAACACTAAGAAATAAATATCAATGGCAAAACTCTTTAATGGTTAGGCAAAACTTTTCATTCAATAATTCATTCATTCATTCAAAAAAAATTCAATCCATATGCTATTGCGGGAATAAGTGTTTCCATCACCATGGATAAAACCATAAAGCAAAGGCAAATGCTGCAGTGTTGGAATGACTCAGAGGTGACATGCTGCTGCACAGTGACATTTCTGAAGACGGGTACTTCACCTTAGGAAGTGCAGCAGCCAGCAGGGTTCTGCAACAAAGGAATTCACTTCCTCATGGAAGGAAGCACAGCAGTTAGAGACATGCTTTCTCACTGGGAAACTGGAGGTCTGGACCTCCAGGCATGAAACAAATCTTCCCTTAGCTCTCATGAATGGAGAAGAAAGTGAAAATTACTCTCCTGTGTACACACAGCACAAAGTCACACGGACTCAAAACCGCATTAAACAAAAACACTCTTCTTTCACAAAAGAAATGCTCTCTTCTGTCACAATTCCCACCCCAGAATGTTTTTTAAAGATGCATTCACAAGCCATTTGTTGTGAGTCATGTCAAAACCACTATTAAACACTGGTTTATTGTTGCTTTTAAGGCATAACATCTGATATTGTATTGTGAAAGTGACTCAGTCGTTCCTTTCAGGAGGATTTTGAAGAGCTGTTACTGATCTCTGGGGGCCAGGCTGAGTTTAATTCAAGAAGATCTTCATAAAGAAACACTTGTTAATCTCACACAGTTTGCTATCCTATGGCTGACCTGCTGGTAGGTCCCCAAGGAAGGGCATCAGTGCACTAAAGACAGTGTAATTTCTAGTTGCTCACTACATTTATGAAAATCTTTTTAGGCAGGTTCTCAGTTTTCCAATTGTCTCTCCCTGTCAGGACCAGTTATGCTCATGGGCAGTAGCCAAGGATGCCAGAGGAGATATTCTCCCCACTTTGCCCTGGGCAGGGAAGGCAGAGTGCAGATGACTGAGCAGTACCTGGTGCCTGAAGAGCCAGTCCTCTCCCACAGCTCCTGTGGCCTTACAATTCCCTGCTGCCGAGCTAGGTTTGTGTCACAGCAGTAAGAACAGCAAATGACCACTAGCTGTGGTTCCACCAATATGGCCTTCTCCTTTCCCAGAAAGGCAAGAGAAATTTTCCAAGATTTCTAAAAAAACTTCTCCTGGAACCATAAGGCTTCTCCCAGTCTTTTTGTCCTTATTTTAAGAAAAGAAACATCTGTTTCACCCTCACTGCCAAGCAGCTCATTTGGTTCACTGATGGATCCATGCACCAGTCCTAGAGTGACATGAACTTTCACTTATAACCCTGAAATGAATTGGTATCTACATATATCAAGCTCTGAATACTACCATACATGAGTATCAGCAGAATGGATGTTGCATATAAATGGCATTTTTTTGGTGACTTCTTAGAGTGCTATCAAGCCTTATATCTGTGCAGAAAGCAGGTAATAAGGCAGCTGGGAACAGTACCCATAAACTGGAATGCTTGCCTGATAGATATGGGCTGGGTTTCCTCTAGGTACAGGTAAATAATGGTAGCTGCATACTGGTTCAGTTGAGCAACTACAGTCCTGTGCAATGCTAAATAAATGAGCATGTCCTGAGTGCTTTGCACTGGAGGGTCTGCCAGAATTCAACATTTATTATTAATAACTTATAAAACATGAATGTCTATATCTGAGTGTTCTATATTTGCTGAAGGAGAAATCTTGCCTAGTTAAGAGAAATCCCATTGTCCAAAGCCTAAATAAAATGTTCTGCTGCTAGATCGAAACCTATTCCTTCAGGTTAAATTTTATCTCCCAGCAGAGGATTATTAACTCAAAACATGTCACACATTCACACTAGTCTTTTTTAAAAATCTGTTTTGAAGAGGAGACGTATCTGGAAAACCAATATATTCCAATAACTCTTAATTGTTGGAACACCCCCAAAGGATGAAATTGGATCAAAGGCCTCCTGAGATTATCCTAATGTTGTGAAATATTTTAAAACTTAAGGTGTATTACCTCAGGGTTAGCTCTCTTGAACATCCAGATTTATGATGTACTTTGCAGGGCATTGATTGATATTGATTTACAAAGTCAGGGGTTTTCAGTGTTTTTCACAGCCTGGGCCATGTTTCAGTTCTACCTCTTCCACTCACAACTTGAATCTTCCTATTCAGGATTCATAGAACTGGAGCAATGCGTTATGGAAAGAAAAGATTCATAGAGCAGAATTAATACACTCCAGAGTATTGAAACCATTTTTGCTCTGGGAAGAAGGAAAAAAGCCCTTATTAGATGGCTCTGCTTTAAGCAGAAATTCTCTTGGTGGCACTCTCTTAATACCTGTTTACGTTACTGATTATTAGTAGTTGACCAATTTTGATATAAGTCATGTTTTAATTGCAGAGTTGGCTGGATCATAAGAGGTTCTTCATGGGAATACAGATGATAAAGTTTTTTCTCTAAATTCTAAACTTCTTTACAAGAAAAAGGGAGAAACTGTCTCTTCAGTGATCTTTGTCCCCAAGAGTACTTATCCAAGCATTTTTCCCCCTAAAATTTGGTTTTTTATAGTCTCAATGGCTTTTTCCAGTGAAGAGCAGGAGGCAATTAACAAAGTAGAGCTAATTTAGGCTGTAGAGCATTCTCAACATTCCATTGATTATTTTAACACCTGAGTCCCAGAAATGGATGACATTAGCCACCAACATTGTTCCATGTTCATACTTGGCAAGATTTGGAATGTGTGCTAATATTGTTGAGAACATTCATGCAATTTGAATGGGAAATCATTATAATCCTTATAATGTAATTTTTGGGTCTTTAAGATCTGCTTTAAATATCACAATGATTGTATAAGTAGAGTGTGCTATACCACAGCTATATATGTCCAAATGGGATGTTGTCAAGAGGAAAAACATTCTGCTTCAGCAGAAATTCAGCATGGAGAAGAGGAAAATTCATCTTCTTTCTGACTGTTGGATTCTGGTAGCAAGTGACATCAAGGCTCCAAGACACCTTGCCAGAAAAGACTGGCAGAGCTATTTTCCCTCTGGATAACAAGCCCTATTGTCTAGCATTCAGGTTCTACTGGTTACTTTTACAATGCTGTACAACAGTGTAAACATTAAAAATACACCCAGCCTTTTGTAAAACCCAGAATGTCACAAGGTGGAAGACAATCCTATACTTTTAAAATTAATTTTATATGTCAGCAAAAATTATCACTTTTTCTATAAAATTATGATTCCCTATTTTAATGTAACTTTTATTTATATTCCATACAATCTTATAATTTTTTAAGTTGGAAAAGCCATCAGAGATTATTGAGTCCAACCACTAACCTTTGCAATGTAACTTAAAGTGGAAGGAAATGTCAGGTTCACTAATAGTTTCACTTTATGCTTCACAACTGTTACACTGTGTGTGTCAGGATTGTAACATTCAGGGTGAACTCTCATGTGTTTAAAAATTATTATTATGCATCTGCCTAATATTTTTTGGAAATTGATTTTTGAGGAAAAGCTGTAATAAAAAAATCCACTGATATTTAATCAAAGTAATTTTTATAAATGCACAGAAGATTCAGAACATTTAGAATGAATATATCTCTTCATGTATTTTAGAACATTACTTTAGAACATAAACTCTTTTAACTAAACTATAACTAAGTTTTCTTACTCAGATGACTCTTGATATTCCTCAAGGCTGTGTTGCAAAAGCAGCCCATACCTGAAATGGCCAGTCAGTTCACTGGATAACACATGTGGGTTTTTAGGTTACAAAATATCACTGGATTGAATAAAAATAAATTCAGCAATGCTTTTTATGCTGCTAACAGTACTAAACACCTTTTGAACAGAAAACAAATTTCAGCTGTAAGCTGACACTATTGGCTGCACTGGTTAGAGCAGATTGGCAATCTGATTTTAACACCTTTCTTATAATACATACTACAGACAGCTGAGACTTTGCCCAAATTAGAGCCATTTTTTGTCAGAAGTATCCATCAATTTTTATAGCTGAAGTTGAAGAGATCCAAAATGAAAGAATGTTTTCTTAGTGGGCTCTTCTGGAAATACAGGCTTTTTGTGCAGGGAAAATTGCAACACCAGATTCTTAGCTTTCAAACAAAAATACCTAAGCATTTTTTTTTTTTTAGATTTCTTGTTTTTCCTGTTTTTCAGAATTATATAAATAATCCTGGACAAGACTTTTTGTGTAATACATTTTGGCTGTTCATAATCTGAAAAGAGAAATGGGAAATGTAGCTGCTTAGTGCTCAAAAAAACCCTACAGGAATTAGTAAATCTTGTTTGGAGACTAAATTAGTGTTTTGGATAACTGCTCTGTTATGGCTATTTGTGTCACATAAAGAGCAAAAGCAGGGCACACAGGACTGTGGCGGGACTTTGCCTTCTTCCACATTCTTCACAGAGGCTCCACATCCAATTGATGATCCCTGGTTGGAGGGGAGATGGGACTGCAGCCCATAAATACATGCAAGGTTCATCTGCTTAATTGTAAATGACACACCTCCCAGCTCTGAATTCAGATTTTCATATCCCTGCAAACTGCTTTGAGCTCACAGCCTGAAAGGCAGAGTACAAATTAACATTATTCATTATCATCTGAAAGCTTTTCATTCTGAAGCACTTAACAGAAAACCTGTGGAATCCTTTTGACTCCAGTGCACAGGTTCTGCCCTCTAGGACCTGGTGCCAGTCTGAACCCACAGAAAAAGCTGCTCTAATTCTGTCATGCTTTGCAAGGCTCAGATGATCTACTTTTAAATGACTGTAATTGAGTTTGCTCGTAGTTACAAAAGAGATCATATATTCTCACA